TCGTTTTTGGCATTTGGGCATTTTGGCTTGATATGCCCAACTTCTCCACACCCATAGCACTTGGGTGGTCCTCCATGCTTTTTACCCTTTCGTTCATACTCCTTGCGCATGAACTTGTGGAATTTCTTGATAACGAGCCCGAACTCGTTGTCTTCATCGCTTGATTCCTCCATGGCGGGTTCTTGGCTTGAGGAAGCCTTGAGTGCAATCCCCTTCTTCTTTTGTTCACCTAAAGAGGGGAATAAAATGGTAGACTCATAGGTTTTGAGGTTACCTCTAAGCCCGTCAATGATGACGTTGGTGATGCCAATGGACTCTTGGATGGCATCGGCTTTGGAGCGCCACTCCGGTGTGAGACTTCGCAGGATTTTTCTCACAAGATCATTGTCCGTGTACGTCTTCTTGAGAGCATGGAGATCATTGACGATTTTGGAGAATCGTTCAAACATCTCATCGATTTTCTCATTCTCCTTCATACGAAACAATTCATATTCATGGGTTAGAAAATCAATTTTAGCTTCTCGGACTTGATCCGTACCTTCGTAGGTGATTTCTAGTTTATCCCACATTTCCTTCGCGGTGGTGCAACAAGAGATCTTCCGGTAGTCATCCGGATTTACGGCACAATAGATGATATTGATGGCCTTGGCATTGTTTTCCACTTTCTTGATGTCTTGTGCATCATACTCGTTCTCGGTCTTAGGGACGTTGGTTTCCCCGACCTTCTTCATTGGCACGTCTTCACCATTCTTGATAATTCTCCAAAGGAGAAAGTTGGTGGATTGGATGTAAATCCTCATCCGCTCCTTCCAATAGGTGTAGTTCGTTCCGTCAAACAACGGAGGCCTCGTGGTGGATTGCCCTTCACCTAAACCTGCGTATGAACTTTGAGTAGAAGCCATTGATCGTTTCTCTCAAACGGTTAAGTCTTACAGAGAGTAAGGCTCTGATACCAATTGTTAGAATAAAGGCCCAACGCTAGAGGGGGGGTGAATAGCGTTTAAAACAAAATCGCAGGAAATTAAAAACGAGAGCGTTAAAGTAAAGAGGGTAAGGAAGGAGCACACCGAATTTTATCCTGGTTCACCACAACGTGTGGCTAATCCAGCCTCCCGAGAGACTCTCTCGAGCTACACTAACTCCGTTAAGCTTAAGGGTGCTTAACAAACCGATACAACTTGAGAACTCGAGTCACACGAGCCTCAACGCCTTTGCTCGGAGATACCACACTCCAAGACTTCTCACGAAGGAACAAAGAACTTCCTTCGAGTTTACAACAAGGGAACAACCTCCCTTAAAGTGTATGAAAACACTTAAACACTCAGGAATAAAACTCTCACAAAGAGTAGATTTGAGTGAACTAGTATACGCTCAAGAACACGACAATTTCTTCAAGAATTGGCTCTCAAATAGCTTAGAAAAATAGGAATGCTTATGCAATGAAAGAGTATTGAAATGTTGAAGAATTGTGTGTAAAATGAGAGGATTTGGGTGCCATTTTATAGCCCAAAATGGGATAAAACCGTTGCTAAATTTTCCAACAGGATGAAGACAAATTTTTCAGAGTTGCAGGGTGATAATCGATTGTCTAGACATGATAATCGATTATTAAAAGATTCCCTGTCCAAAAGTTTAAAATTCTATCCGTTGGAGGACAACGGTAACCCAGATAATCGATTGTCAACAAGTGATAATCGATTATTGGTCCTCTCAGAAGTTTCTGGGTTTTGGCTGCATAGGTTGATAATCGATTATTGCATAAGTGATAATCGATTATTGCGTGCTTCAGAACTTTGGAGTTCCAACGCTGCAGGGGCTGATAGTCGATTGTCACTAAGGTGATAATCGATTATCACCCAGCTAAAGTCTAGCCAGCTGAAACCCGTTTTGAAAAACCGAGGTCCAAAAACGAAGTGTTCCCAAAAGTAAAAACCAAGTTTGAAAAACATTGTATATGGTATAAAATAGTGAAAACAAGACTTGTTCGGTAAAAACCAAGTCTCCAAGGTCGTACATCNGGCTTTCTTCCTTTGTATAATTCATATGGGGTTTTCATGAGTATCGGTCTAATGACGGCTCGGTTTAACACGTAGCTCGCGGTACTCACGGCATCCGCCCAAAAATACTTAGGAATTTTTGCCTCATCAAGCATAGTTCTAGCCATCTCCTCGAGACAACGATTTTTACGTTCCACCACTCCATTTTGTTGTGGTGTACGTGGAGCGGAGAAGTTATGCTCGATGCCTAGCTCGTCACAAAACTCGGTAAAGAGATCTCGTTCGAACTCTCCACCATGATCGCTTCGTATGGCTACGGTGGTTAAGCCTTTTTCATTTTGAACCTTTTTTAGAAAAGTTTTGAAAACATGAAATGCCTCACTTGTATGAGTTAGAAATAATGTCCATGTGAATCGAGAGTAGTCATCAACGATCACAAAGGCGAAATAGTTTCCCCCAAAACTTTTTGTTCTTGATGGTCCAAAGAGATCCATGTGCAGAAGTTGTAGGGGCCTTGTTGTAGACACAACATTTTTCGATTTAAATGAGGCCCTTACTTGCTTGCCCTTTTGACATGAATCACAAATGTTGTCCTTCTCAAACTTGAGTTTCGGAAGACCAACTACTAAGTCTTGTGAAACCAATTTATTCAAAAGGTTCATGTTGACATGAGCTACTCTACGATGCCATAGCCACATATTGTCCTCCTTACTCATGAGACATTTGGCAAAGTCGGAGGGAGATTCATCTAAGTTAACCATGTAAATATTATCAATTCTATCACCACGAAGAATCGTCTTATTGTCACTAAGACGTTCTACCGTACATGATTTAGAATCGAAGGTCACACGATTTCCCTTTTCACACAATTGACTTATGCTCAAGAGATTGTGTTTAAGACCCTTAACCAACAAAACATTATCAATGGAGGAGGTTTCGTTTTTACCAACCGAACCAATGCCGATTATCTTGCCTTTGCTATTATCGCCAAAGACAACGTTTCCTCCTTTAGTTGGTTTGATTTGCAAAAACTTGGATGCATCTCCGGTCATGTGCTTGGAGCATCCGCTATCAAGGTACCAAAGTACACTTGATGCCTTCAAGCACACCTACAAATCAATTTAAAA